TTTTCCAGCCTTTCCTGCTGTATCGAAAGCACCTCCCATGTCTGAGTGGTCTCCCCACTCAGTTTCCTCGGCGCGGGTTGCCGCGCTTTATCGTCAAAAGCAATGAAATATATTGCGCGTGAAGATTAAGCCCATATCTTTCCAGCTCGTTGGGTGGTTCGAGCAGTTTCTGGACTTGTACCACTCTTTCGAAGAGCGCTATATCTAGACATCGTGGGAATCAACCCATACCTTGCTGATTTCTTCCGCCGATCGGGTTAAACATTTTGGGCTGGCGTTATTCTGCAATCAGCGCAAACAGCGGCAATCGCGATTTGGACCTCCTTGGAAAACCGTACTCAAGTTCATACTCCAAGGAATGGTAGAAGACCATTGCGACTTGGACATTCTGCTGGACCCGATTTTCTTGCACCTAAATCGCTTACATGAGAAGCAGTTCTGGTACCCTGGGTTTGGGACTGGAAAGACTAACATTCCCAACCTGGCTTCCACTTTGTCGTTGACGAATTCTGCTGAGCCATGGCGTAATCAGTACCGGACTTCGATCGCGAATCACCCAGGCATGTCACTCCCTCGCCTATCCGGTAGGTTACTCGCCCGGTAGTCGATCGAGTTCAACACATTTCGTGAATTACTTTTGTTTCTTCATACTGTATTTAATCTTGATCTCTCCGGAAATGTCTTCTACTTCAGGCCTCTTGGGCCGCGATCGTGCTTCGATCGCTACACATACTTACAAACATACCTTCCTCCTTCATACACCGCCTCCTGGTGTAACTTTTCCCACCGTACGACCATGTGCAACCTCCTTGCACACTTACACACCCCATCCACCTCGATCTGGTCTAGACTCCTGGCTCTTCTTCGTGCGTTTGCATCACTTCGAACCTATTTCGACTTATCCGATCGCGATCGAATTCTTGTAATAGAGCGCCACAATTCAAGTCTGCTTCATCCACCCATGATGGATCGCTATTACCTTTCCATTGAACCAGAAATTGACGGTGTACTCGTCCGTAACGCGTCTTTCGACCCGATCGGACGTCCACAATCTTTGTCACCTCGAATTCACCATCATCCAACTCGCCTTCCCAGCTATCTTCTGGTAGTAAGGCTTCGTCGAAATCGACCCGATCGGACTCGTCTACCTTCAGTTGACTTTGAGGCCGCTCTGGGAACATCTTCACTGGCTTTAGCTTGGACACATGTACTATCGGGAACAACCTATAAGGTGTGCCTGCGATATCCAATTTTACTGCATGATCTCCGCATTTTTCCATTACTCGAAAGGGTCCGTGCCACATATGGGCTAACTTCCGAGCATATCCATCCTTCACGCGATCCAAATACAACCACACTTGTGCCCCTTGATCGATCTCTAGCAGATTTCGGTCGTCATTGTGACGATCCGATCGGTCCTGGATAGCGATCTTTAACCGATCGTTCACGATTGCTCTTGCCTGTTGATACTGACGCTGTATGTTATATCTCCATCTTCTTGGATCTCGATCGCGAGGTTTGACACTTCCCACTGGTAATGCCGCTTCCAACGTCGATCGGGGGTCCCAGCCATGGATTAGATAAAATGGTGTCTCTCCGCGGACTCGATCTTGTGCGGTATTAATCGCATAGGTTAATCTTTCTGCATATTCATCCCAATCTCTCTGGTTTTCGTCAGCGACATACATCTTAATCGATCGCGTTAGAGTTTGAACCATACGTTCTGCGGTTCCGTTCGCTTGAGGTCGATACGCCATTGTGGCTCGTTGCTTCTGTCCCGCGATCTTGTTGAAAGCTCGAAAGAAGTCAGACATAAATCCTGGCTCCCGATCATGACGGATGATTTCACTCGCACCAAATCTTCGAAATACGCTTTCTTCATAGTTCTCTGCAATCGTCTGTGCAGTTCGGGACGAACTCGCTTTTGCGATCACGTAACCCGAGAAACAGATCGACCCACAACAGCAACTCAGTATTCCCCTTAAACGATCGCGGTAAAGATGGGATATGATCCATTGCCAGAATTTGGAATGGGTGCGTCGCTTGCAAGTTGCCTGAAGATCTACCTCGATCTTGCGGGCGACCTTTGCCGGTTTCACAATCAATACATTCGCCAATATAGCGTTGCACGCTCCAGTACAATCCTCGCCAATGGAAATCCGTCCTGATCCGATGATATGTACGGCCTACCCCTTGGTGCCCACCCTCTAGACTAGTGTGGTGATGGAGTAGGACGTCTTGATGCAGCAATTCTGGAATTATCAGAAGAATTGACTCTCCACGATCTTCGCTCTTTGATGCCACCCTGGGGCAGAAAAATAGCAGTCCACTTTGGTCGACTTCGTAGTCTGGTGAGATCAGTGCGCAAATCTTTGCGTCTCTAGCACTCAGCGTGGCTATATCCCCGATCAGATATGTCTTCAAGTCCGATATCCAACTTTCCTCATCTTGCGCCTGGTTTATGCGTTCGATCCGGACTTGTTGTACAATTTCTTCTTGTAAAACTGTCTGGGAGCATCGCCTTCGCGTCGTTGATCGCGTGATCGCGGCTACCTTGACTGGGTGGTTAGTCTGTTTTGGTATCAGTAGTTCATTTAACCGATTAAGGGTCACGAGATCGTCTCGTTCTTGGTTTGATACTGCGACATTTCCTTTCCCCTGACGTAACGCCTCGCTCGCTAGTCGATCAGCACTCTGGTTCCAGTCCCGTTTCACATGTAGCAATTCTTGTTTTGGACAAGATAGGAGTTTCTCCATTGCCTTATGTTTCAAAAGTTGTAGACCTGGTGCTTTACAGTCGATTTCACCTCGCATCTGTCTTATTACCAAGTTCGAGTCACCACAAAAGATCACCCGACCTCTGATCTGATCGGACAGTGACTCCAGACCCAGCAACAGCCCACGATATTCAGCCTCGTTTACCGTCAAATCTTCCGCAAATTCTGAAGTAGCCACCACGATCGTCCATTCAGGCAACTTCCATAATATTGCGCTGTAAGCGCCACCTTTCTTCTTTACCCTAGCCGATCCATCGAAACTGACCACCAGGACACTTTCGTCTACTTCGACTGTGGGTGGTGGCATACTAATGTTTTTTCGTGGTTGTTTCCTTGGAGCGATCGCGATCAGCACTTGATCTACTTCTTTGCGAGGGGTTATACTTGCAGCCAGCGTACCTAGCACTTCGTCTTCGCCTTTTTCGCACCGTCTGATCTCTAACTTTTAGTTCGATAGTAACGCCGCCCATCTCCCTAGTCTTCCGTTAAGACCCGACGACTGCAATAGCCAAGCCAACGTCGAGTATCTCGTAAGCACCATAATCTCCCGCGAAACCAACATCGTATAACAAATGTCTAACATTCGGAGGAGGGCTAGCACTTCTTTCTCAACAATTCCGTAATTGACTTCGTTGGATTTCAGCGTGCGACTAGAAAAAATGACAGGCCAATACGTGCCGTCATACTCTTGAAGCAATGCGGCTGAAACTGCCCACTTACTGGCGTACCCCACAATCACCGGTGCTCGATCTGGATCGAAATGTCTTAAGATCGGTGTTTCAGCAAATATGCCCTTTAGCGAGTTAAAGCCATGATCGCTTCCTTCCATCGACTTCCATCTACAGAATCTAGATCGCCCCCTGATTTCCGGTCCAGATTGCCCCCTGTTTCATTGGTCCAGATCGTTGCAGGACTCAATTCGCGAATCGTGATCACGATCGGGTTCACTGTTGGATACCATTATCCGAACTTCTTTATCTTGGCTGATCTCGTGGAAATCTGCTTCCCGTAGCTCGTAGAGCACGGACGCATATATGGCGAAGTCTTCGATAAAACGACTGTAGTAATTTAGGCTTCCCAAGAATGATTGCATTGATCGCAGAGTTCGAGGGAAGGGAATATTCGCAATTGAGTTTAAATCCTTGGGGTGGGCTTCCAACCCTTTGTGTGAAACTTGGTGGCCTAGATAGTCGACCTTACAGCGCCCCCAGAAACTCTTTGCCACACTGATCGATAGGTTCCATCGGTCACACACCTCTAGCAATCGTTCCACCTTTTGATACAGGGATGACCAGGATTCAGCAGGTATCAAGATGTCATCGATATAGGACCTTCGGCCTAAAACTGATGGTCTTGGATCTGTGTCCGGCAGTCCGTCAGTGAACACATCGGTTGGTGTCGACGATGTTACTGCATGCGAGTTAGGTGTTGGGTCGATCTTGAGATTACCATATAGTGCATTGTCGATAAGTCGTTGGTATATCTGGGGAGCGTTTTTTAGCCCAAAAGGCATTCGCAACCATTCAAACAAACCCGAAGGCGTGATGAATGCAGAAATAGCTCTTGCTCGTTCCGTCATTTCCACAACCCAGAATACACTTGCCATATCTAGAGAACAATACCGCATCGCCTTATCCAAGTCTTGTAATAATTCGCTGATTAGTGGCATGGGGTATATCATCAATCTTGTCAACTGATTCACCCTCCTGTAATCGATGCACAGCCGTATGTCCTCCCCATTTTTCTTGATAATCACCACGATCGGCGAAGCCCAAGGTGAAATGGACGGTCGAATGATCTTGGCCGATAATCATCCCTTGATCAAATCTGCAAATTTTTCACGAAACTTAGGTGCCACCGGTCGTACACTTTGCGCGATCGGTTTGGCACCTCCAACATCAATGTCACATACTGCTCCACGAGCAGCTGGAGGCAAGGCGTTCCCTTTGCCTATGAGTAAGTGGCGTTTTTTCTTAATCAGTTGCTCAGCTTCTCCTGATCGTCTGTCAGCGGGACACCTGGATCGCCAAACTGGATGTCATCTATAGCCACTTCCTTCGTGGGCGCAATTTTTTCTGGCAAGAGTGCCATATGTTGGTACACATCTTCCGCAAATAAATCCTCACCATCGTGGCGATAAGCCACCGATTTCGTTTGAGTCTCGTCTGTCACGTCTCCCTCGCGATTCAGTACTGTAGCATTCTGTATCTTAAGATCTGACAATTAGAGCTCTTGATCGTCTCCGAATGGGTGATCATCGCCGATCGCGATATCTTGTGCTTGTCTGATTATGTCGTCCGAGTGTTCCTGTGACCGATAGCCCTCTTCTACCTTCACTGCGGTATTGAACACGGCAGGTGCCTTTATTGATCGCTGCTCGTGGCTTTCGGGGCGATCCTCTTTCACGATCTGGCGCTCTGTGACATCCGTCATCTTTGCTTGTGGAGCTAGCAGATCTGATCGGCTTCCCCCCATATTCCTTACTTGTTTATCTCTGTGGGTCAGAATCTTCTCTTGGATGAGTTATGACGGGTGATTCACTAAGTACCTCGAATACTCGATCGGGTGTTCCTTGCTTGATTCCGTTGTAGCTTCAAACGCCAGAGTCTGCCATTTATTATACCGGCGTGATCCAACTGATACATAGCCCGGCGATCGGGGTATCATGTCCGTCATCATCCACCACCCTAAGGGATATCGTGATTGAGAATCACCTGCTGATCGACGATGTTGGTCAGTATCAAGAGCTTGATCTGGCCCGGTCCAGTATTCACCGTCGGCACCCATTTTTTATCCCGTCTCACCCATAGTTTGGACTTAGGGAAACCTGCTCCAATTCTCATCTCCGTGGATTCTCCAGCAGGAATTACTATATGTTGGTCTGGGATAACGATCGGTTGCATGTTTACCCCATACGGAGGCCTGCGCCCTGCCAAGTGAATTTTCACCTCATCTGGCAAACAAAGCGTACTGTCCGCCAGATCTGCACCATAAAGTCCATACCTAAAACCGCTTCTTGGCCCACTTGATCGCCCACCCAAACGTCAAAGTAATACACCAGCGTTCCGCTTAATGTGATCTTGATTTTGGTGCGTCCTTCCGTCATGTAGGAATTCTCCCCGATTCCCACACATTCCTGTCTCTGGCTGTCATCAATAATACATTCCACCTTACGGGCAAAGGTGGCGTCTGTGATTGAGACTTCGACTCCAGAAACGAATAGCATGGTGGCCTTCTCATTATTGATTTTACCCACCGCTTTAGCCTGTTTAAATCATTTTCCTGGCGTGTGATATTTCCAATATCCTCTCGATTCCCCCGGCGCTAGATCGAGTTCCATCTTAACGGGAGATCGTAAATGTTCATCCACCTTTTTTACACTTGAAATATCACACAACCGATGGTGTTCCAAATCACATGTTTAGCGGTCGGGTCGATCCGATTGTTACTCCCTTGATCGATCCTGCCCTGCTCCACAAATGTATACATGCATAGCCTAGAACGCTCGGCTCGTGCCAGATTCCATCCTGGCGAGCGTCCTAGTTTAACATCTCTTCTGCCTTGGTCGGTAGTAGTCCTGCGTGCTTGGTTGGGACGTACCACTTGCGGATCAGGTTGTAAAACTCTTCCATGGGACATTGGCCGCTCTCGTGAACTTCCCCACAAGCGGAACACACATGTAGACATTTGTCCGAGGGGTGCCCTTTTCGGCCACACTTCTGACAGGTCAATCTTTTCCAGCATCCGCGATTGTCATGTCTTTTCGAGCCGCAGTGTGTGCAGGCTTTCGCAACTCCGCCCCGATCGCGATCATCATCTCGGTCTGTCTTTCGCGATCTGTCTCGTTGATCCCCTGGGTCTGCAGCCTGATCAGTGATAGTCGTCACACAAACCTTACGGCGAAAATCTTCTTCATCTGCATCGTCCGAACTTGAGCCTGAGTCGCTTTCCTCACTTTCTGCACGAATGGCCTTCACCATCCGTGGTGTCTTTGAATATGCTTGGGCTGGAGTCGTAGCCGATCGCGATCGGTACTTGTTCGAGTCAGTCGGATTCTTATTCTGCCGAAAAGGCATACGCTGATAAGCGCGTAGAGCTACTTCCATCGCGTTAGCATCATGCACTCGCAATAGGGTCAGTTGCTCCGCCAACTTTCGATCATCCAAAGTGTCAATGAAGTGTTCTACATGCTCACGTTGGCTTGCTGGCGATCCATCTCTGAACGCCACTTTTGCTCGCATTCCTGCTACATTCAACCGGTCCAAGTATTCCAACGGGGTTTCATTCGGTCTCTTCCGCGCGTGGTAGTATTGTCTTCCAGCTGACATTCCATATCCCCCATATCGGACCATGAAGCCTTCCGACAACGACTTCCAATCATCACGGGTCGATCGGCTCAACCGGCTGTACCAATTTCGGGCAAACCCTGTGAGCAGGTCTCCAGATACCAGACATTTCTCGTCGTCTGGAGCCTGATCGCGTAGAAAGGCAGTCTTCATCTTGTCAAACCAATCTCTAGCACGTTCTTCGTCTTATCACGTCCTAAAATTCTTTCAGATCGGCCATCGTCGACAATCTAATCCTCTGTGCGCTGAAACCTCCCGTAGGGGCGGTTCCTGCAGTTGCAACTTGTGGTCGTCTTAGGTCATATGGCTCCCTGCGATCTGACTCATGTTCTCCCGGTCGATCGCGGTATCAGTCTACTGACTCATGTCTCCCGGTCGATCGCGGTATGAGTCTACTGACTCCATTTCGACGTCTGGGACGATTGGGTAGATAGCTCCTTGTTCTTCGCGATCGCGAATGAAATTGTCCATGGTGGCCTTAAAATATGTTTGCAACTGGCTTGGCTCCACCGTGTTTGCATTCTGTGAAGCCGAAATTTGAGTCGATCGTATTCCACTGTTAGCCGGGTCGAGCCTGTTTTTAAGCATTGCTGCCCCTGTCGGTCCCAGCGACATCCGCTGCATCCCAAACGACTCGTCTGAGTCCATATCTGATTCTGACGAGGCATAGCGTGACGACCCCGTGTATTCCTCTTTCACGTTGCGGTCGGTTGAATCTCTCTCTTGGCTCAGGTGTTCTTCTTCTCTCTTGACTCTCTGGCTCAGATGTCCTTCTTCACTCTTGATTCGCTGGCTCATAGGGTTGTGAGACCCTGGCAGTGGACTTAGCTTTTCGAATAGTAGCTGTCATGCTTTGATCACCTCATCGTGATTAAATTATAATAGCGTTTGTGCGTCGAAAGCTTTAGCGGTAAATCCAGCGTCTCTTAGCAGCTGAATAAGCCGATGCAATGCCTCCAACTGATTCGAGGTCACTTTCGGTGGCGATACTGGACTTTGGATCGACCCGATCAGCTTAGATTTCAGCACCTTTAGGACTGGGTATTCTGCAAGAAGTTTCTTCAGTTGTTGCCAATGGAATTCCCAGGTGATCCGTTCCAATTGCCAGCCTTCTGATTCCACATCCTGACCTTCTGCCTTGATCTCTTGCTTGTTTTGATGTTGCTCTGCCGTCTTCGTCTTTGAACGGGCCAACTTAGGAGTGTGTTTCTTCGCCTTTGGTTGGGCGGTAGTTTTGGAAGAAGATCTTTCTGTTTTGACTGAAGTATATCCATCTGGCAGATCGTGATTTGCAGCACGATCCGCTGTGGTACCCGAAGAGACCTCAAGAGGGGTTTGAGGTTTTTCTTCCAGATCAGTTTGGTAATCTTACTCTTTGACTTTCTTGTCATCATAGCCCCTCCCAAAACTATGACGATCTTGGGATCTTTCTCTTCGCGCGTCTGGGGCGATCCGAATTCCGCTGATGCTCCAATCCCAGCTTCAGTCTTGATCTTAACATCATTATTTTGGGACTTACGGTGAATCCTTGAGTCACCAGAAGATCCGGGCACGCGCACCTTTGTGGTGGATTGGGGTTCGCTCATTTTTTGAGGCGATCCCGACTCTCCACTGGCGCCCAGACGACCGACTAATGGAGGGGGTACTCCGATTCCGCTTGCAATTGTTTCCTCCTCACCTTGTGTACCCGTCGGCAGGGCGGGTTGCACTCTTCTAGGTGGACTCGACGAGATGCTAATCTTGACCGTTGTAGATATTGGTGCTGATCGGGTGGAAAATCCTCACCCAATCGCGTGTTCTGGGTTGGCGCTCTCCTAGAGTCGCCGTGATCTGCCCTGATCACCTTGTGCCAAAATGTGTACTTGAGTCGCGAGCCTTTCTGGCCACTTGAACCGTCTCGCGATCTTGTACTTCAACCGATACGGTTGGCTGCGTCCGATTGCAGTAGGGGTGTGTTGAAAGTCCTAGCACTCCTGGCCAAGTAGCTCCAGGAGTGATAGCTCTCTCCTTGATGTCGAGATTCTCAGACGTCGGGAGGCCAAAATATCCGACCCGGGAGAAGATCGACACGAATGTGTTTAGAAGCAAATTGAATTCTGTTTAATGTTAACCAATCAGACCCTCACACCTTACACCTATAACTCGGAAAATCAGATGTTACGCGTCGCCTCTACAGATTGCCCCTTGTATTCATGTGGCACAGACCTGACACACCAACCGTCTGATCGCATCAGGGCATGGTCCACGCCACATCGCGGTCCCTTGATCGCGGTCCCCTGATCGCAGTCCCCTGATCGCAGTCCCCTGATCGCAGTCCCCTGATCGCGGTCCCTCAATCGCGGTCCCTTTCGCCGTTCCGAACCGTTCTGACCCGTTGTGACCGGATGAGATATTTCCGTGAATGATCCCAACGGTGCCATCCAAATGATTGGTCCTCGTCCCACGATCATCCACTGGTCCCCAATCCGTACTTAGGCATACGTTTGAGGTTTTACGACACCGATCTTAATTGACTTTACTACAGATGCGCCTGTAGCAAGTCACACCGTCATCCTCGTTGGACGTATCTCTCGCTCAACATTGTTAAGCCTACTATCTTCTAGCGACTGGCGTCGAATAAACTGTCCGACGCCCCACATTCATCTAGGGCGCGAAGTGACATTCCAGTTGTCACTTCGATCTTCAAAGTGATGAGGGGCACCTCATCACTAGGGTCAGTAACACACTGAGACTGTGTGTTGGGAGCAATCTACATCAAGAGTCCTGCAGATTCTCTTGACGTTGCTGGATCAGCAGGGTGCTCCGCCCCTACTGACCATGAACGTTTTTTGACGGCCCGACTTGCTGTAGCGGCTTAGCGACTTGTTCGGACAAACGCCTCGGATCTTTCCTTGCCAACGGTGGTCATCACGCCCTGTCTTTGGATGTGTTACGGTGCTTGGGACACTACACTCATGACCGTAGTGTCCAATCTTCTGACGGCGATGGCGTCTTGCCGTTCTCTTGTGACTCAGAGAGCGAGAGTTCTCGATCTAGATGTAACAGAGGTCCATTTGGTTCGGGATCTCCTGTTTCCTGTCGTCTCGTCGGACTATAGTTTGACGAGTTAGCTTGAGACTGTCTCAGGCTGAAGTCTTCTTGTTCCGCGTACGCTATCGTTTTTTCTGGCGTATAGAAGTCCCCTTGGAACATGTAGGTCTTCACTGGCTCATCTACAAGGCCGTAGATGAACACGTTGATGAGCGTGTGCTCATCAACAGAGTTCTCCGTAACGCTACTCGCAAGGTAGCGCAGGTGCTGTGCGTAAGCGTGCACGTAACGCTTACCTTGCTTGGGCCTCGAGAGTGCAGAGCGTGGTCTGAACTCGGCTCTCGGCGGCCCAAACGTCTCTTTGATCCGAGACTTTAAGATCTTCAATGATTCAAACACGTTTGGGTCGTGAAGCTTGAGCCCTAAGGCCCAAGTCTTTGCTTGTCTGTCAGATTTGACAGGGCGAAGGTGACTTGCATCTCGTCACCCTCGATGTGACGGGCCCTGATGGCGTCGTCTAACTCGACGAACCACCTTAGAAAGGGAATCTTTATCGTTTCCCTTGCACCTTGAGATATCAATCTTCAAGGTTTCGGGTCGACGCATGTGCGTCGGTCCTCCCGTCGACTGAAGGGAGCCTCGCTGTTGTAGCAAGGCTATCATCTGTCTACCGAAAGCAAGTTTAGCCTGTAGAAATTGTCAAATTTTAATATAAAAAAAATTAAAAAGGATTAGCAGCGTGTTGTTGGTCTCTGTTTAGAGACTCCAACATGCCACTGATGGCGGGCTCGCCCATGATCACACTCATGCGGCTGACTACCTCCCATTCTGAGTCACTCAGATGGGGGTAGCCTTCACGTGTGACGTCGAAGCTGTCGTCTTGTTCGTCCAACATGAACATGTTGGACGGACACTAAGTAGTCGTTGGAAAGACGACGAAGTGCTACCAGGTGTAACGGGGCACCCTTTGTTAGGGTGCTACGAAAATTCACGTTCACTTGTACGCGCAGAGGAAGTTAATCTACTTGAACGACTCGTCCAAGTAAAGATAAAAAGAGAGCTGTACTTAATATATTAAACTATCTATGTAACGTTAAAATTCATCTACTTATTTTTAAACTACGTCGTCTTGTGACGACAACCTGCTCACCACTCATTGCGCGCGTCTAGCAGTGATTGGTAATCTATGGTTGATAAGTCTTATATCAACCAATCTTGGAGCAGCGCATGAATATTATCAAAGGAGGGATATAATCCTTCAACAGTATCTATCTCGGATAATGTTGGTAGAATGTTGTCAGGCTAGACAATATTCCTATTGACACCGTTTGGTGTCAATATCATGTAACGGGATACCCTGTTATATGAAACGGATGTGACACCGTCTAATAGATGGCTGTAGAGATCAGTTGGTAGGCCAGCTTCAATCTTAAAATATTGATTACGCATTACAATTCGAAGATGCACGTGACATATATGAATCGCATAGCATTTCAAAAAAGTCTTTTAGACCGTGTACTAGCTGCACACAGCTACGGATAGACTCCACCTTGCGACAGGATGCAACGCCGTGATCGATGCTAATCATGTGAAAAAAAGGCAGCCACCGCAGCTGTATAGCAGATAATTACAACTGTACTTAAATGAATCTCTATCGTGCTCGAAGCACGCAAAGATCATGCACTCTTTATCTCATTGCTCACATACTAAGGTCGACCTTGCGCCTGAGATCGTTTTTTCTCACGATGCACGTACAGTAGACATTACAACAATAAACATACTCGAACATAAACGGAAGGAGTCAATTAAAGCTACCACGGGCAGTGCACCGAAGTAATTGCGCCTATACTTCGACCGATAAACACTGCAGAATGTTTTACTTTAGATCGAGTAAAAGAGTTTGACAGCAGATAATGAATACTAACTAGCAGATACTTTAGCAGCTTTACAGAATGGCGTTTTTTGCCGCTTTGGTGTTTTATGCGCGTTTATCGAACCTAGAGAGTCGAATGTTGTGACGGCAGATCTACAACAACTGGAAGTGAAACGGAAAATTAAATGAAATAGAGACTAAATAGTGGGAGAAACAACGCTGCAACAGGTGATGATATCATTCGCTATTA